TGTGCCTTAGTCTCCCGAGTAGCTGAGACCACAGGACCCAGCTAACTTTTGTATTTTCAGTAGAGATGAGGTTTCACCATGTTGGCCAGGCTTTCTCACACTCCTGGCCTCAAGCGATTCACCCACCTTGGCTTCCCAAAGTGCTGATATTACAGGCATGAGCCCCTGCACTTGGCCTCTCTTTGTCTTTCTATTGGGGTATGTTAGTGTGTGTGTATTTGCCTATAAACAAATATATAGAAATTTCTTGCTGATCCCAAATACTTCAGCTATATTTCCTAAGAATGAGGATATACTTCGTATAACTATCATACCATTTGCATGTAAGAAAATTAGTATTAATACTGAAAGCTTTCCATTTGTCTCCAAAATATCTTTTATAGCTATGTTTTTTATCCAGAATCTAACCAAGTTTCTTGCATGGTATTTTGTTATGCTACTTCAGTCTGTTTTAATCTAAAAAATATCCCTAACTTTTTGATGGACTGTTTTTCATGAGATAGGCATTTTTGAAGAGTTCAGGCCAATAGTCTTATAGAATGAACAGTATTCTGGATTTATGTGGTGCTTCCTCATGATTAAATTTAGGTTAAATTTTGGTATGAGGCCTACATAAATGATTATGTATACCACTTATTGCATTATGTTAGGAGGCACATATTTTCAGACTGCCCTATTACTGGTGATTCTAAGATTGCTATCTTAAGGTGATGACCATCAGATCTATTATTCTTTTGGTAATTAATAAGTAATCTGTAGGGTTTGGTGATGTGAATAAAAAGTTATTCCTTAGCAAACTTTTATGAAATGTTTTATCATCTATCTCATGATCTTTCTCCAAATCATTAATGCCAAGTCATTAATACGTCAATAGTTACAAAATGGTGATTCTTCTAATTTTATCATTTCCTCTACGTATATTTCCTCACATATTTCTGTAAATAAGAGCTTTCATCTTTTCCTTTTTTGGATTTCTCCTTCTTCGTCGCTGCAACTTTTTTGAGTGTCATTTGAGTATTCATTTGGACTCATGAATTTTTAAAAAATTCACAATTCAATATGTGATAATCAGTTACCTTAATAGTTATTTTTGGTTCTTAAATTATCCCACATTTGGCTAATGGAAGCCCTTTTAAACTGGTCTTGTATCCTTTTATGTAACTTCATTTAAAAAGAAAAAATTTCTTGGGCAGATGCGGTGGCTCACTGCCTGTAATCTCAGTACTTTGGGAGGCCAATGTAGGTGGATCACTTGAGGTCAGGAGTTCAAGACCAGCCTGGCCAACCTGGTAAAACCCCCATCTCTACTTATAATATATAAAATGTCTGGGCATGCCTCTGCATTCTGGCCTGGGAGACAGAGGTAGGAGAACTGAAATAACCCAAAAGAAAGGTGATGTCTGTCTCAAAAAAACAAAAATAAAAACAAAAAACCCAACCACTTTCTTGCTTTCTGAGACAGTAAGACATTCCAGATTTCATTTGTACTTTCCCTGTTGTAGCCCTGAGCTCAACTGTTCTTCAAGGAAGCTCTGTACCTTTTAGTGAAGGATGGTATTTAGGAACCAAGATCGGGTTGCAGGACATGATTGTTGCTACTAAGGTCTTAAACTGCTTCTAGGTCCTTTCAGTGGACAGAGCTAGCAGACTGATTTTTTGAAAACTCATCAGTTTCTACAGATACCTTCAATTTACATTCTAGTGTCACAGAATTCTCCCTCATCTTCTCCCATTTTATATTTGTATCTTCCTTCTCCCAGGGTGAAAACCCTCCTTCTACCACCACCAGTAGATTTACTCATTCACTGTATCTTTCAGTATCCTTCAGTTGGTATTATAAACCAATATCACACGACTAACTGGCCTGCTATGTAAACTTCAGGGTTTCTTTGCAGTTTTTCTTTTGTCTTTGAATGCATCTCACTAAGCCTATATACTCAGAATACTATGCTCAAAAGTTATTTGAATTCTTTTTGGTATACAATTAGGATCAGTTGTTTCTGTTTTATTCAGTTTGAAGGTTTGCTTTTTCATCTTTTTGAAGTCTTACTCCCATTTCTATCCCATCTACCCCATTCCCATCCATCCCCTATAGGATGAGAATGAGACTTCTAGTGTAGGTTTGACTTCAGAACCTTGTAAATATTTTACATAAAATTAAATTTAAAAGGATAGTTAGTAAAAATAATGCCTCTCTCTGTCCTTATTAATCTTATTTGCTTTGTGTCTAATATTAATGTTTCCACACCACTTTGCTTTTGTGTTGTTTCCATTCTCCTGTTTGACTTTTTCTGTCCTTTTAACTTCAACCTGTGTATGATTGTGTTTTAAGTGACATCTTTTGTATCTAAGTTGAGAACCTGAGTTTTGTCTGATGAATTTCAATTGTTTTCTGCTACCTTTTTTGGGTGGGGGGCGGACAGGGTATAAATGCTTGCTTTGTCACCCAGGCTGAAGTATAGTGGCACAAACAGTGCTCGCTGCAGCCTTGGCCTCCTGGGCTCAAGTGATCCTCCTGTCTCAGCCTCCCGAGTAGCTGAGACTACAGGTGTACACCACCACACCTGGATAATTTTTAAATTTTTTGTAGAGACAGGGTCTTACTGTGTTGCCTAGGCTGGTCTCAAACTCCTGGACTCAAGTGATCCTCGTGGCCTTGGTCCTCCCAAAGTGTTGGGACTATAGGCATGAGCCACTGCACCCAGCTCTTTTTAGCCATATATTAACCACAAAGTAAAGCCATGTATTAACCACTTAAAAGCATCCTTTTTCGTGGCTGTTTCTTCCCTCCCCTTCTTCCCCCTTCTATTGGATTGATTTTTTTTTCTTTCTAATTATTTGGAAGTAAAGCATCCTATGTCTTTTCTTTTAATGGTTATCCTTGTCCTGCTGTTACATTGTGTTGAGTGTTAAGTCAGAGGAACCCATACCACTTTTTCACATGAACTACCACAACAGGTTTGTTGAATGCTGTACTTTCAAATTTTATTTTGTTTTACTGAAGCAAAGGACTGTGTGTTTATTTTTAAATAAATTTAACATTTTTATAATTAGTCTGAGAAGTAAGGGACTTTGCTGTATGAAGAAAGATTAACCAAAAACTAGACCTAAAACCACCTTTTTCCTATAGTCTTCCAGACTTCTCCTCCCCCTCTCTGCCTTCACTAGAATCTAAGTGCTGTTAAGGACAGAAATATTATTTTGCTTATTGTTGTATCTGTTTTTCTTAGAAAAGTATACATTCACCTGCCCTCAATAGATATATTAGTTGAATGAATCAAGTAGAAATATTTAGAGAAAAACAAATGGAGTGGTGTAGGATGGAGGGCAGGAGACCTTATGGAAACTTTGAGTTGAAGGATTTGCATGTCAAATAATAATTATGCTTGTTTTGTATTGTTGTTAATCTACTTCGTGGAAGCCAGGCTATGATGGGAATTTCTTAGCATCTTCCTGTTGATCAGAACTAAAGTGCTCTTTCTTCTCCTTTTTCTTCCTACTAAATGTGCTTAATTTTTAGTAGGTTTATATTTCCAGGTTCAACTTCCAGAAGTGGCAGTATTTCTTTTAGCTTATTCTATCCAGGATTGGTTTTATGTAACACATTCTGTTCATGAATACCTAGCAAATAATGGATCTATTACTATGTACCTTCAGTATTTGTACAGTACATTAATAAGCTGGATGTGATACAGAAGTAATATCAGATAACCCTAATCTGTAGTTCGATTGACAGGATGAGATTAGAACATACTTAAGGAATACTGAGGATCAGCAAAGACCCTCACTGATACTTGGAGATAGGCGGTGTTTTAATCAGTTTTATTGTTTTCATGTGTGCTTATTAGATTCCAGCTAGGTCCTTGAAAGATGTGACTTTTGACTAATTTCAAGGAAGAGAGGTGGTTTACTGAGTATTGTTTTTAAGGACAATTAAAACAACAAATATGGGTAAAGAGAGAAGAATAGAGGTAGCAAAAACAAGAGTACTGCTTCTCAGATTGCAGTGGGAGAGGAACATGAGGTCAGAGACCTTCTATTAGCATGAGACTTTTGTGTATAGACATAAGAACATGAAAGAGCCTAAGTTCATTTCTGGGCTTGCAAGCAAAATTTTTAGAAAGTGCTTCTTTACCTTTCTTAATAGAAAGGATACCAGGACTTGGAGTTACAGTGGTGGAGGCAGAGGTTCTGTGCAGCATAGCATTCTCCTTTGTAGTTGTGAGAAATTGAAGTGGTCACCACACCCTGACCCTCGTTGGTCCAAAAAACTTCTGTTTCTGGGTTGTTGGTGCTCACTTTGACTTCTACGCATCCATCTTAGAGCTTCTCTTCTCCTTTCCTGTTTCTCCTGTGACCTATTTCTTTCTATTTGGAAACACTATTGAGGAAAGATCACAATTGCAGGGATTTTGATCTAGGCAAGTGTTCTTTTTCCAAAGTTGGCTCTTCAACCTTTTGATGAGGGACAAGATTGTGAGAACGTCTGGGAAACTGAAAGAAATAAAATCTAGTCAGCCTTAGAAATGAACAAATGAGAGAAAGTGACAGGGGACTGGGATATCACTTTTACTTGCACTTTAACCTGACCATTAAAGTGATCAGTTAATAGCACAACACTCTGTGTAGCCATTCACAGCAATCACTCACTCTTTGTGCCTCCATAGTAGCCCAGATGTCCTAGCTTTTTCACTTTTCTGTTTGGGCAAATTAGGAAGGGTGTAAATAGGTAGACCAGTTGTATGACTTGCATATTTGTCCTTTCTATAGTTAAGCAAACAGTGAAAGGCAGCCGGCATACCTTTTTTCTGAACAGAAGTTTCTGGGCTTTTTTTTTTTTTCCATTTTATTACATAATTATCTTAGACAGTTTGACTTAGAAATTTAGTGGGAATGATCCACAAATTGGAACAAGACAAATTTAGTAGTATTAGTACCTGAAAATCTAAATTAGTTCCTTGACAACTGCCTTTAATAAAATTCTCTTTTCTTTCTCTTAGGGCTGCTGCTCAGAGCAAGTTAGGTCATTATACAGATGCAATAAAGGATTGTGAAAAAGCAATAGCAATTGATTCAAAGTACAGCAAGGCCTATGGGAGAATGGGGTAAGTTCTGGGAGAATGTTCAAAGTAGTACCGTGTGATATCAGGTATGCTGTTCTTAATGGCTTGGTTTTGAATTTCCTGCTTAATATTGTACCCTCTGAAGTACAATATTAGTAATATTGTAGTAATAAGAAGATAAATAAAACATAAGGGAGGAAATGACTGCAATTGGTGACTTGGGAGTGAGATGATTGATGACTGATTTGATTGTTGGAGAAAATTATATAACCATATTTAGTTGACTAATTTCATGTCCATGACCTCAAATCTCAGATAAGCACTCAATATTGGCAGACAATTCTATCATATTTCCTTCTATAGTCACCTTTCCACTCTGACTATTTCATACTTCCTCCTCTCCCTTCAGATTTCCACTATCCCCTCTAGGGTGACTCTCAACAGATGGTATTGCCTTACTTACACTTACTTGATAAGATAGATGCTTTTTGAAGAAAAACAGCTCATCTTCCTCCTTGCAAATCCATCAGTCTACCTATACTTGTATATACACAGAATGCCTTTTTTTCCTGTTAAAATGGAATCATTCTGGCTGGGCATGGTGGCTCATGCCTGTAATCCCAGCACTTTGGGAGGCCAAGGCATGCAGTTTACTTGAGGTTAGGAGTTCAAGACCAGCCTGGCCAATATGGTGAAACCCCATTTCTACTAAAAATACAAAAATTAGCCAGACATGGTGGCACATACCTGTAGTCCCAGCTACTCAGGAGGCTGAGGCAGGAGGATCGCTTGAACCTGGGAGGTGGAGGTTGCAGTGAGCTGAGATAGAGCCAGCTGCACTCCAGTCTAGGTGACAGAGCGAGACTCTATCTCAAAAAAAAAAAAAAAAAAAGGCAGTATTCTTTTTGTTTTGTTTTGTTTTTTTGTTTTTGAGATGGAGTCTTGCTCTGTCACCCAGGCTAGAGTGCAATGGCCTGATCTTGGCTCACTGAAACCTCCACCTCTGGGGTTTAAGAGGTTCTGCTGCCTCAACCTCCCAAGTAGTTGGGATTATAGGAGCCTACTACCACACCTGGCTAATTTTTGTACTTTCAGTAGAGACAGGGTTTTGCATGTTGTCCATGCTGGTCTCTATCTCCTAACCTCAGGTGATCCACCTGCCTTGACCTCCCAAAGTGATGGGATTACAGGTGTGAGCCACCGCGCCCAGCTGGAAGCATTCTTATCTAAGACCATTGCCAGCACTTTGGGAGGCAAAGGTGGAAGAAATGTTTGAGCCCAGGAGTTCAAGACCAGCCTGGGCAACATAGCAAGATACCATCTCTATAAAAATGCAAAAGTTACCCAGGAGTGGTGGTGTGCACCTATAGTCCCAACTATTTGAGAGGCTGAGGTGGGAGGATCACTTGAGCCTAGGAAGTTGAGGCTTCAGTGAGCCATGATTGTGTCACTGCACTCCAGCCTGGGTGACAGATGAGAACCTGTCTCAAAAAACAAAAATAATCAGTTGGACGCATCCCTTTACCCAGTGTTCCCCTCCAGCTACCATCCCACTTCTCAATTCCTTATTCTCTGCTGCTAATGGTTATCTGTTCTTGCTGTTTTATCTTCGCCATCTCCTATTTTCTCTTAAGCTTGTTCCAATAGGGCTTCTGTTCTATATCACTATGGTGGTTAATTTTATTTGTCAACTTGACTGGGTTAAAGGATGCCCAGATAGCTGGTAAAACATTATTTCTGGGTATGTCTGTGAGTGTGTTTCCAGAAAAGATTAGCATTTTTTTCTTTGTTTTTGAGACAGAGTCTCACTCTGTCACCCAGGCTGGAGTGCAGTGCTGCAGTCTTGGTTCATTGCAACCTCTGCCTCCCAGGTTCAAGCCATACTCCTGCTTTAGCTTCCTGAGTAGTTGGGACTACAGGTGTGAGCCACGATGCCTAGCTAATTTTTTTATGAGATTAGCATTTGAATTGGCAGAGTGGGTTAAGAATATCACCCATACCAATGTGGGTAAGTATCAACAATTCCTTCAAGTGGTCAAATAGAACAAAAAAATAGAGGAAGGGCAAATTTGCTCTCTCTGCTTGAGCTGGAGCATCCATCTTCTCCTGCTGTTGGACCTGAGCATTCCTCATTCTGAAGCCTTTGGACTTGGACCCAACTTACACCATCAGCTGTCCTGGTTCTGAAGTCTTTGGGTTTGAACTGGAATTACATCATTATTTTTACTGGGTCTCCAGCTTGCAGACAGCAGATGGTGGGACTTCTCAACCTCCATAATTGTATAAGCCAGTCCCTCACAAGAAATCTCTTCATATATATATACACTGTTGGTTCCTTTTCTCTGGAGAACCCTGGGTAATACAGTCACTCTACTGAGATAGCTCTATTCAAGGTTACCAGTTGTCTATATTTTGCCTAGGAGTGTTCAGCTCTGTATCCTCACCATAAACTGTCTTTTAGTATTTGATGCAATTAACTTATTTATTTTTATAAGCCAATTTATCTATTTATTTATTTAGAAGCATAATTTCACTCTTGTTGCCCAGGTTGGAGTACAATGACACAATCTCAGCTCACTGCAACCTCTGCCTCCAGGTTCAAGCAATTCTCCCACCTCAGCCTCCCAAGGAGTTGGGATTACAGGTGCCTGTCACCACACCTGCGTAATTTCTGTGTTTTTAGTGGAGACAGGGTTTCACCATGTTGGTCAGGCTGGTCTGGAACTCCTGACTTCAGGTGATCCACCCACCTTGGCCTTCCAAAGTGCTGGGATTACACACATGAGCCACTGTGCCCAGCTGCTATTAACTTATCATCAAAATACATCACTCTCTAGGATCCTGACACCACACTTGCCCTGTTTCCCCTTTTATTTTGCTAGATGCTCTTTTCCAGTCTCCCTTGCTTGTTCTTCCTCTCTGCCATCTCATAACAGTGCTGTATTTTAGGGTTGCATCCCCTGCTGCTGCTGTTTATATGTCTGTTCTCTTTGTGCAGTTTATCCTGCTCCATGCTTTTAAAATCTATCTACAGTTACTACTCATTATTTGCAGATTCTGTATTTATGAATTTACCTACTTGCTAAATTAATTTGTAATCCCCAAATCAATATTTACACTGCTTCTGTGGTCATTCATGGATATGCACAATTAGTGAAAATGTGTATCCTGATGTTCCCAGTCTCAGCTGAGGGTGAATAAGGTGATGCTCTACCTTTTTGTTTTAGCTCTCATGATGAAGCAGTCTATTTAGTGCTACATTTTTTTGTATTTTTGTGTCCTTTATTTGTGATTTTGCTGTTTATAGTGGCACCCCAAGTATAGGCTGAAGTGTTGTCTAGTGTTCCTAAGTACAAGAGTGTGATGTGCCTTATGCAGAAAATACATTAATGAGACAAGCTTCATTCAGGCATGAGTTAGTGCCCTTGGCTATGAGTTCAATGCTAATGAATAAAAAATATATATTAAATAAAGTTTATTTAAACAGAAACACACATAAAACAGGATTATATATTGATCAGTTGATGAAAATGTGACTATTTACAACTATTTGCAGGAATGTAACTCTATATTTTCCCTAGGAACAATTGTTCAGTATTTGGTAACTCATTGTTCATGGTGACTTTATAGAACAGAATTACTGTGAATAAGAATCAACTATGTATGTTATTGGATCTAAGTTATATGTTTGAACTCCATACTCATATATTCAACCACTTTTTCACTCCATGTTTGGATGTTTAATAGGCATTTTAAACTTAACATGTCCCAAACAGAGCTCGTGTTCCCTTCCAAAATCTTTTCAGTCTCAATACATTGTACAATCATTTATCCCATTATCCTTTATTTTTATTACACCTGACATAAGGACTGATAGTCTATCAGCAAGTCCTGTCAATTGTTGTTTCTGTATATATCTTAAATCCAAGTGTTGATCACTATCTTCCATATAACTACATCTCTTACCTAGGCTACTGCAATAGCTTCCTAACTGATCTCCTGCCTCCATTCTACTCTTCTGCTCTTGTAGATCCTCTACGTAGAAGCCAGAGTGAGCTTTCAAAAGCACAGATTAGACCATGCAACTCCATTGCAACCAGAATAAAGTTCAAACTCCAAGCAATGGTCCTATATCATCTGGCACCCGCCTATTCTCTGATATCATCTCTCCATGCTTTGTTTTCTGTGTTTCCTCCTCATCAGTCCTTGTGCTGTACCTTAAGAATACCAAGCTTGGCCGGGCGCGGTGGCTCAAGCCTGTAATCCTAGCACTTTGGGAGGCTGAGGCGGGTGGATCACGAGGTCAAGAGATCGAGACCATCCTGGTCAGTTTGGTGAAACCCTGTCTCTACTAAAAATACAAAAAATTAGCTGGGCATGGTGGCGCATGCCTGTAATCCCAGCTACTCGGGAGGCTGAGGCAGGAGAATTGCCTGAACCCAGGAGGCGGAGGTTGCGGTGAGCCGAGATCGCGCCATTGCACTCCAGCCTGGGTAACAAGAGCGAAACTCCGTCTCAAAAAAAAAAAAAAAAGAATACCAAGCTTGCACCTTTCTCAGGACCTTTCAGTTTACTGCTGTTTCCACTACAATACTCCTCCCTCATTTTCATGACTGCTTTTTTTTGCATCACTCAGGTCTTTGCAAAGTGGCTACTTTTTGAGCAGCTCTCCTATTCATTCTCTTTAATATTGCCCTTTTGATTTGCATACTTGTTGCCTGTCTTCCCCAGGTAGAATGAAATTTTTTTAAAGTCAGGAAACTGTATCTTTTTTTTTTTTTTTTTTGAGATGACGTTTTGCTCTTATTGTCCAGGCAGGAGTGCAGTGACACAATCTCAGCTCACTGCAACCTCCACCTCCTAGGTTCAAGTGGTTCTCCTGCCTCAGTCTCCCAAGTAGCTGGGATTATAGGCATGTGCCACCATGCCTGGCTAATTTTTTGTATTTGGTAGAGATGGGGTTTCATCATGTTGGTCAGGCTGATCTTGAACTCCTGACCTTAGGTGATCCATCTGCCTCAGCCTCCCAAAGTGTTGGGATTACAGGCATGAACCACTGTGTCTGGGCTAGGAACTTTATGTGTTTTATTGTGGAATCCTTGGTATCTTTAGATACTTTTTTTTTTTTTGAGATGAAGTCTCACTCTGTCACCTGGGCTGGAGTGCAGTGGCTCTATCTTGGCTCACTGTAACCTTCACCTCCCTGGTTTAAGCGATTCTTGTGCCTCAGCCTCCCTAGTAGCTGGGATTACAGGTGCCTGCCACCATGCCCAGCTAATTTTTGTATTTTTAGTAGAGACGAGGTTTCACCATGTAAGCCAGGCTGCTCTCAAACTCCTAAACTCAAGCGATCTACCCACCTCGGCTTCCCAAAGTGCTGGGATTGAAGACGTGGGCTATCGTGTCTAGCCAGGATCCTTAGTATCTTTAGATATTATTTTGAGAATATTCTTATACATGTGTTTCAATAAATAGTTATTTACTTGACTCTTGATTAACTGGGGACTCTGATAAAGTATTGTACATGGTTGACTGGTAGAAAATTAATTAGATTCCAATGAAGAGAAAAAGAAAGAGAAAAGAAAGAATTAAGAAATTTGTTTAAAAAAAACCCTAAAGCAACAGAAACCCCTAATACCATCTCAACATATATACAGTTATTGTTTGGTGCTGTAGTAATGTTTCAATAAGTAAATTTTAACTAGGTGATATGAACATTAAAATTTAATAACTCTTTGACTTGTACCTGGTATAATGTGTCATTTGAGTTGTAAAGGATGCTAATTTTATCTACCTGTTTTGATCAGGAATAGTTATAATATATAGCTTGTTTTCTTATAATTTATATTTATTGTTGCTCTGTTAGGAAGAAGCCATGTGGGCCATTTCAAAGCACAAATATAGTTTAGAGTCCTTAAAAATGGTGTTAGCATCGTAGATTTATGTGACCACATGATTGTCAGTTCACATCTTTTGGAGCTTACTCTAGGCATTTATAAAGCAAATTATTTTACATATTAGGCTTAAAAATAGTAGAATAAGTAAGATAATCTCTAAGTATTAAATTCATGATCTGTAGGACAACCAGGTTGTCAGCAAGCGGAATGGAGAGAGTTCAGATGTATAGAATCTTAAGTTGGAGGGAATTTTACTCCTGTGAGCAATAGTACAATGAATAAATTAAGTGTAATCTGGAAAGAACTGAATACCAAGACAGACAGACGTTTGATGATGTTGGTGATGTCCTGATATTCTTTAATCATGTATCTTATGTTCTTGTACTCTGTATTCCCTTCAGGCTGGCCCTCACTGCCATGAATAAATTTGAAGAAGCAGTTACAAGTTATCAAAAGGCATTAGATCTTGACCCTGAAAATGATTCCTATAAGTCAAACCTGAAAATAGCAGAACAGAAGTTAAGAGAGGTATCTAGTCCTGTAAGTTGTTCATGCTAAACAAGTGAAGTATTTTCTGTCATTCACAACTTATTGTAATTAAATTGTAGTTGTTGGACTGATTTTCAGATATAATTGTTTTACAGACAGGAACTGGGCTGAGTTTTGACATGGCTAGCTTGATAAATAATCCAGCCTTCATTAGTATGGTGAGTATACCTTCTTTTCTGCCTCTGCTGGCTCTGTTTTCCATAGAGCTATGTAGCTATGCAATTTTTTTAGAAACAAGTAAGTGGAGCTTTTGTGGTGGTGGTTGTAGTGAAATGTTGATATAAGCTGTAGCAGAGTTCTTTTTTTTATTTCCAACTTTTAAGTTCTGGGGTACATGTGCAGGACATGCAGGTTTGTTACATAGATAAATGTGTGCCACAGGAGTTTCCTGCACAGATCTTCCCATCACCTAGGTATTAAGCCCAGCATACGTTAGCTATTGTTCCAGATCCTTTCTCTCCTCCTATCCCCCACCCTCCAACAGGCCCCAGTGTGTGTTGTTCGCCAATATGTGTCAACGTGTTCTCATCATTTGGCTCCCACTTATAAATGAGAACATGTGTTATTTGGTTTTCTTTTCCTGCGTTAGCTTGTTAAGTAAAATGGTAAAATGGCCTCCAGCTCCATCCATGTTCCTGTGAGGGACATGATCTTGTGTTTTATGGCTGAATAGTATTTCATGGTGTATATGTACTGCATTTTCTTTATCCAATCTATCATTGTTGGACATTTGGGTTGATTCCATGTCTTTGCTATTATGAATAGTGCTGCAATGAACATATGTATGCATGTGTATTTACAGTAGAATGATTTATATTCCTTTGGGTATATACCCAGTAATAGGATTGGTAGATTGAACGGTATTTCTGCTTCTAGGTCTTTGAGAAATCACTACACTGTCTTCCACAATTTAGATTCCCACCAACAGTGTCAAAGTGTTCCTTTTTCTCTACAACTTTGCCAGCATCTGTTTTGTTGTTGTTGTTGTTTGTTTTATTCGAGACAAAGTTTCACTCTTGTAACCCAGGCTGGAGTGCAATGGTGCAATCTCAGCTCACTACAGCTTCCTCCTCCTGGGTTCAAGAGAGTCTCCTGCCTCAGCCTCCTGAGTAGCTGGGATAATAGGCACCCATAATCATGCCTGGCTAATTCTTATATTTTTAGTAGGGATGGGGTTTCGTCATGTTGGCCAGGCTGGTCGTGAACTCCTGACCTCTGGTGATCTGCCTGCCTTGGCCTCTTAAAGTGCTGGGATTATAGATGTGAGCCACCACACCTGGCCTGTTCTTTGAGTTTTTAATAATAGTCGTTCTGACTGGTGTGAGATGGTATCTCACTGTGGTTTTGATTTGCACTTCTCTAATGATCAGTGATGTTGAGCTGTTTTTTTTCATGTTTGTTGGCCACATGTATGTCTTCTTTTGAGAAGTGTCTGTTCATTTCCTTTGCCCACTTTATAATAGGGCTGTTTGTTTTTTTTCTTGTAAATTTGTTTAAGTTCTTTATAGATGCGGAATATTAGACCTTTGTCAGATGGATAGATTGCAGAAATGTTCTTTCATTCTGTAGGTTGTCTGTTTACTCTGCTGATAATTTTTTTGGTGTGGAAAAGAAACTCTTTGTTTAATTAAATCCTATTTGTCAATTTTTTCTTTTGTTGAAATTGTTTTTGGTATCTTCCTCAGGAAATCTTTGCCTGTGCCTATGTCTTGAGTGGTATTGCCTAGGTTTTCTTTTAGGGTTTTTATAGTTTTGAGTTATACATTTAAGTCTTTAATCTACCTCACATTGATTTTTGTATATATATGGTATAATGAAGGGGTCCAGTTTTAATTTTCACCATATGGCTAGCCAGTTCTCTCAGCACCATTTATTAAACAGGGAATCTTTTCCTTATTGCTTTTGTCAGGTTTGTCAAAGATCAAATAGTTGTGGGTGTGAGGTCTTATTTCTGGGTTCTCTGTTCTGTTCCACTGGTCTATGTGTCTGTTCTTGTACCAGTACCATGCTGTTTTGGTTACTGTAGCCCTGTGGTATAGTTTGAAATTGGGTAACATGATGCCTCAGCTTTGTTCTTTTCATTTAGGATTGCCTTGGCTATTAGGGCTCTTTTTTGGTTCCATATGAATTTCTTTTTTTTTTTTTTTTGAGACAGAGTCTTGCTCTGTTGCTAGGTGCCAGGCTGGAGTGCAGTGGCGCAATCTCAGCTCACTGCAACCTCCGCCACCTGGATTCAAGCAATTCTCTTGCCTCAGCTTCCCAAGTAGCTGGGACTACAGACATGTGCCACCATGCCCAGCTACTTTTTATATTTTAGTAGAGACGGGGTTTCAGTTTGTTGGCCAGGATGGTCTCAATCTCTTGACCTCATGATCTGCCTGCTTCGGCCTCCCAAAGTGCTGGGATTATAGGCGTGAGCCACTGCGCCCGGCTCCATATGAATTTTAAAACTGTTTTTTTCTAATTCTGTGAAGAATGTCAATGGTAGTTTAATGAGAATAGCATTTAAATATATAAATTGCTCAGGGCAATATGGTCATTTTCATGATATTGATTCCTCCCATCCATGAGCATAGAATGTTTTTCGATTTATGTCATCTCTGATTTATTTAAGAAGTGGTTTGTAGTTCTCCTTGAAAATTTTCTTCGCTTTGCCTGTTAGTTGTACTCCTAAGTATTTTATTCTTGTGGCAATTGTGAATGGGAGTTCGTTTGTGATTCGATTCTCAACTTGCCCATTGTTGGTATGTAGGAATGCTAGTGATTTTTGGTCATTGATTTTGTATCCTGAGACTGTGCTGAAGTTGCTTATCAGCTTAAGAAACTTCTGGACTGAGACAGTGGGGTTTTCTAAATATAGGATTATGTCATCTGTAAACAGGGGTAGTTTGACTTCCTCTCTTCCTAACTGAATACGCTTTGTTTCTTTCTCTTGCCTGATTTCCTCGGCCAAAACTTCCAATACTATTAATATGTTGAATAGGAGTGGTGAAAGAGGGCTTCCTCGTCTTGTGCTGGTTTTCAAGGGGGAATACCTCCAGCTTTTGCCCATTCAGTGTGATATTGGCTGTGGGTTTGTCAAATATGGCTTTTATTATTTTAAGGTATGTTCCTTGAATATCTAGTTTATTGACAGTTTTTTACATGAAGGGATGTTGAATTTTATCAAAGGCCTTTTCTGCATCTATTGAGATAATCATGGGGTTTTTGTCTTTGGTTCTGTTTATGAGATGAGTCACATTTATTAATTTGCTTATGTATAAACAGCCTTGCATCTTGGGGATGAAGCCTCCTTGATGGTGATTTTTAAGCTTTTTGATGTGCTGCTGGATTTGTTTTGCCAGTATTTTGCTGAGGATTTTTCCATCAATGTTCATCAAGGATATTGGCCTGAAGTTTTCTTTTTCTTGTTGTTCCTGGTCAGGTTTTGGTATTGAGATGATGTTGGCTTCATAGAATGAGTTAGTTGGGAGGTGTTCATCCTTTTCAGTTTTTTTGGAATAGTTTCTGTAGGAGTGGTACCAGCTCTTCTTTGTATCTCAGGTAGAATTCAGCTGTGAATTCATCTGGTCCTGGGCTTTTGTTTTGGTTGGTAGGCTATTTATTACTGCCTCAATTTCAGAACCCTTTAATGGCCTATTCAGGGATTTATTTTCTTCCTGGTTCAGTCTTGGGAGGCAGCATGTGTCCAGGAATTTATCCATTTCTTCTAGAAATTGATTAGTAAAATTTCTAGTTTATGTGCATAGGATTGTTTGTAGTATTCTCTGATGGTTGTTTGTATTTCTGTTGGGTCGGTGGTAATATCCCCCTTATCACTTCTGATTGTGTTTGTTTGAATCTTCTCTTTTCCTCTTCATTAGTATAGCTAGTGGTCTATCTAGTTTATTAATTTTTTTCAAAAAACCAGCTCCTGGATTCATTGTTTTTTGTTTTTGTTTTTTGAAGGGTTTTCTTGTGTCTCTGTCTCCTTCAGTTAAGCTCTGATCTTGGTTATTTCTTGTCTTCTGCTAGCTTCGGGGTTTGTTTGCTCTTGTTTTTCTAGTTCTTTTAGTTAAGATATTAGGTTGTCAACTTGAGACCTTTATAGCTTTTTGATGTGGGTATTTAATGCTCTAAATTTCTTTCTTAACACTGTTTTAGCTGTGTCTGAGATTCTGGTATGTTGTATCTTTGTTCTCATTAGTTTCAAAGAACTTCCTGATTTCTGCCTTAATTTCATCATTTACCCAGAAGTCATTCAGGAGCAGGTTGTTCAATTTCCATGTAGTTGTGTGGTTTTAAGTGAATTGAGTGTTGCATGGTGATGAGAAGAATATTCTGTTGTTTTGGGTGGAGAGTTCTGTAGATATCAGGTCTACTTGATCCAGAGCTGAGTTCAGGTTCTGAATATCTTTGTTAGTTTTCTGTCTTGATGATCGTCTAATATTGTCAGTAGAGTTTTAAAGTCTCCCACTATTATTGTGTGGGAGTCTAGTTTCTTTGAAGCTCTCTAAGTACTTGCTTTATGAATCTGAGTGCTCCTGTATTGGGTGCATATGTATTTAAGATAGTTAGCTCTTCTTATTGAATTGAACCTTTTACCATTACGGAATACCCTTCTCTGTCTTCTTTTTTCTTGAGACAGAGTCTTGCTCTGTCACCCAGGCTGGAGTACAGTGGCGCCATCATGGCCCACTGCAACCTCCTCCTTCTTCTTTGTCTTTTTTGATCTTCGTCGGTTTCAAGTCTGTTTTGTCAGAAACTAGAATTATGACCCCTGCTTTTTTCTGTTTTCCATTTGCTTGGTAAATTTCCTCCATCCTTATATTTCGAGCCTATGTGTATCTTTGTACGTGTACTGGGTCTCTTGATTGCAGCTCACTGACGGGTCTTTTTTTTTTTTTTAATCTGGCTTTCTATTCTGTGTCTTTTAATTGGGACATTTATTTACATTTAAGATTAGTAGTGGTATGTGTAAATTTGATCCTGTCATCATGATGCTAGCTGGCTAGTTTGCAGACTTATGTGGTTGCTTTATAGTGTCACTGGTCTTTGTACTTCAGTGTGTTTTTGTAGTGGCTGGTAACAGTTTTTCCTTTCCATATTTAGTGCTTCCTTCAGGAGCTCTTGTATGGCAGGTCTGGTAGTAACGAATTCCGTCAGCATTTGCTTGTCTGAAAAGGATCTTATTTCTTCTTTGCTTATGAAGCTTAGTTTGGCCAGATGTGAAATTCTGGGTTGGAAATTCTTTTAAGAATGTTGAATATTGGTCTCCAATCTCTCCTGGCTTGTAGGATTTCTGCTGAGAGATCTGTTGTTAGTCTAATAGGCTTCACTTTGTAGGTGGTCTCGCCTTTCTCTCTGACTGAATGGCAGGGTTCTTAACCTGTCCATGTGCTTCCTGTGGGAAAGCCATGGATGGACTTCAGGAAGCTCAGGGATTTCCCCAAAATTATACATAAAAATCTGTGTACATGTGTATGTGTGCATTTTTCCAGGGACAGTATCATATTTCTCATCAAATTGGCACAGGAGTCTGCCAATATATGAAAAGTTAAAAACTACTGTCTTGGCTGGGCACGGTGGCTCATGCCTGTAATTGTAGCACTTTGAGAAGCTGAGGCAGGCAGATCACAAAGTCAGAAGTTCGAGACCAGCCTGGCCAACATAGCGAAACCCTGTCTCTACTAAAAGTACAAAAATTAGCCAGGTGTGATTGCAGGCACCTGTAATCCCAGCTGCTTGGGAGCCTGAGGCAAGAGAGTTGCTTGAACCCAGGAGTCAGAGGTTGCAGTGAGCCAAGACCATGCCATTGTACTCCAGCCTGGGCAACAGAGTGAGACTCCATCTCAAAAAACAAAAACAAAAACAAAAATCAAAACAACCAACCATCCAAACAAAAACTATTCTCTTACATAAAAGTGGTTCTAGGAAGATATCTAACATTTGCAGTCTGAGTATTTGGTCATTGTGGTTCCTGAGGCTTGTCCCTCAGCATTGTGTGCCTTGTTTTCTGTCTTGAGTCATGTGTGTGTGTGTGTGTGTGTGTGTGTGTATGTGTGTGTGTGTGTGTATATATATATATATATATATATATATATATATATATATATACTGTCCTCTATTCTTCAAACCAACAAAATAATTTATGAATTTATGGGTTTTTTTGAGAAACCCATGAAAATACATGCTGTGGCCCAATATGTGGTAACTTTTTAGTGGGTCTAAGATGTTATCAAGCTCCTGGGGTGACTGTATTTTTTGGATGGGAATTATTCTATCACATGATATGCCCTTGGAGGGCTGAAATCGATTTTTATTCATCTTTTGTTTCCTTCAAAAAATATGTCTTGCATCCATTACATCTTCTGTTGAACTGAGATGCACAGATGACTCATTCTCAGTGAGATGTCTTTTTAGGAATAGGTTGTTTTTATTTTTCCCTCATCAAATTTCAGTCTTCTTACCATGCTGGCAAATACATGTTTTGTAGGTCTTGTGACTTTTTTTTTTTTTTTTTAAGCATGGTTACCCATTCTAGGACTCAGGTTATAGAATTGTAACAGGATGTGAAAATGGAATTCTTTTAGTTTCAGATTTGGCTTAGGCTCCAAGCCGCTATGTACCAAAATAAGGTGTGAGACCACCATGTAGGAGTTGCAAAAGATAGAGATAAAAAACATGTTTTGTGACTTGTAAAAAGGGCCAGGTTGATAGAGATAAAAACATGATTTTTGGAGAGAGCTATTAGAGTTCTAGGGCTCCATATATGAAGGAAGTAGGGAAGCTTGCTCTCATCTCAAGCCCCCACTGAGAAAGGGCTTTTCTGGTCCAGAGACTTTCTACCTGATGTTCAACTGGAAAGCTAGTGGCAGAATTAGCTTTGTGGTTTAGGCAGTTACTATATTGATGACAGTGGAGCAGAGGTGTTTCCTGTGGACCAAGGTGAGCACACACAACTGTGAGAGTGTGTGTCTGAATATGTCTAAGAGGCTTTCTTGGAAGTGCGACAGGATCCCAACACAGAGAATCTATGGAGGACTGCCAAGAACCTGAGATTGAAGCAAAAGTACTCTCATCCATCCAGAGAGTAAATTACCCTTTTCAAAGAATAGATGAGAAATCTCCAGGGGTGTAGAGAAGGGAGAAGTGTCTGAAGAACACCAGAAAGTACCCTGTAAGAGAACTACAGCAGTTTTTTAACACCTTGCAAACTCAAAGAGCACCAATGCAAAACTAGTAAGATAATACCAGTCATCAAATAAGAACTTTCCTGTTCCTTTCATTTTTCCCTCCATTTAACCCTCATCCTGGAGGGCCAAAACTCTTAATCACAAGTTGAGGGAAGAGGACTAGAAGCACTACAGGATAAAGCACTATAGGCCTGGGCCTGGTAGCTCATGCCTGTAATCCCAGAACTTTGGGAGGCTGAGGTGGGCGGATCGCTTGAAGTCAGGCATTCCAGACCATCCTGGTGAAACCCTGTCTCTACCAAAAATACAAAAATTAGCTGGATGTGGTGGTGCACACCTGTAATCCCACTTACTTGGAAGGCTGAGGCAGGAGAATTGCTAGAACCCAGGAGGCTGAGGTTGCACTGAGCTGAGGTCATGCTATTGCGCTCCAGTCTGGGTGACACACACACAAAAAAGCACTATAGGACAGCAGTCCCCAACCTTTTTGGCAACAGGGACTAGTTTCATGGAAGACAATTTTTCCATGGACCATACCGGGTGTAGAGGGTAAGAGGAGGATGGGGAGAATCATTAAATTTTCATGAGGAGCACTCAACCTAGATCCCTCACATGTGCAGTTCACAATAGGGTTCTTGCTCTTCTGAGAATCTAATGCTGCAGCTGATCTGACAGGAGGTAGAGATCAGGCAGTAATGCTCACTCGCCCACTGCTAACCTGCTGCTGTGCAGCCTGGTTCCTAACCATCTGTGGCCCAAGGGTTGGGGACCCCTACTATAGGAAACAGAGCAGTCACTGTTGCCTCTTTTCTGCTGCAACTGGCCAATATGTAGCAGGCCCATGCTAGGGAAGGGAAAAGTTTTACCTATAAATGAAGCTTTATGTATTTGGTTGTTACACTGAGACATTAATTACTGAACTGAAGGTCATTTTATACAACTTAAAGTGACAGGAGGACTGCTTACTGAAAAGTGACCGGAAAAGCCATAGATCTGCTCTAAATTTCTTCTAGTTCCTAGATTCTGGGAGCATGGAAAGAACTGCTGTTGCAGAGCCAGTTTAGAGGGATTGCAAAATGTTTACAGCTCATTCGTCCCGCTTTTCCTGTGTAATGCCCTTAGCACTTATGGGTTGGCTCAGAGGCACCAATCCTGACTGGGACTTGAGGAAAGTTTTGAATTATTTGCAAATCAGTCAGTGATCTTTCTGTAATATAAGCAAGTGCCCAACACTTCATAGAGAGTCCCTGAATAGAAACTATTGTCTATAAAGATTTAGACTAAATTAAAATTGTATATGAATATTGTTGACGGTCCCAATTTGAGGCCAAAGAAACTGTGATGCTTTCAAAATAGAATGTTTTAAAAGTGTGTGTGTACATAAATTTAATTCTCTGTGCCACTGTAAGCATGGGAAGGATTGAAACTGCTGGGCCTTGTGGAGCAAAGTCACATCTCTTAAGAGCTCATTTGCAATGGACCTTCTCAAGTGTAGGAGATTCCTTAACTATACTTTTAATGTTCCTATTTTTCCTTTAGGCTTAATTGATATGATCAGTGTAGTAAGTAAACTGCTGTCAGTGTCCTCAGTTTATAGTATTGTTTGTAATCTCTATATCCTCACCATGTCTTCTTAATGGCACTTTTTCTAGTACCTCCTCTCTTTTTACATTCCCATTTACTTTGCATAGCACACGGAAACTTTACAAAATGTTAGTGCATACATGGTTTAGCTTTCGTTCTTCCAAAAAAAGATGTTTGTTAAAAATCCCTACATATATTAACTGCCTTTAATGGGAGGTGCTATTTTTCAATTCCAGGCAGCAAGTTTAATGCAGAACCCTCAAGTTCAACAGCTGTAAGTATATAGAAATAGCTTATTACATGTCCCCGATTCTATTTGCTAGCCTCCTAATTCAAGCACATCAGCTCAAAAATGATGAAACTGTTCCGAATGGCAGTCAGTTGGAGCTTAAAGCTATACACATTTGGTATAGCCTCTAGCATAACATGGGCATATTTTATTAGCTTTTCCTCGTCCAGTTGTCTTATTTGTTAAGAATATACACCAATCCCAGTGATGTATTTCTTGTGTACTCTAGAATGTCAGGGATGATGACAAATGCCATTGGGGGACCTGCTGCTGGAGTTGGGGGCCTAACTGACCTATCAAGCCTCATCCAAGCGTAAGTATTATTTAAAATAGACATAGTGACGATGTCTTTTATGTTTTCAGCTTATCTCCATGGTGAGGGGTAAGGGCATTCTTTTTAAATTTTTATCCTTTACTGTTAGTAATATTGGCCTCCTTAAACTTACTAAATCTGAAAGAAGTTCATGAATTAGAACCACTTTTTAGACTGCAGGGCAGGAATCCAGACCTGGTCTCGCCAGCCCTGTCTGTTGAGAAAAAGAATCATATGTTCACTATGCTTTTTTCCCCCCACTCGTTATGCTTTATTAAAAAGGGACACCAAGTACCAACATAATTTTTTCTTCTTTTCTGGCACCATCTCAATAAGGCAGGTGAGGGACAGATATTAGAAAAGTAGATAATTTATATCCCTACTCAATGTCTAGAGAAACTGAGGTACAGGTTAGTGACTTACTAAAGAAGCCAAAGCACATTCGGTTCATTTGCAGCCTAATTTTAATTTTACGTGATTGTGTTGTCAGTATGAAATTAGGGTCCTCGGTTTTCTAAGTGGTGGCATCAATACAATGTCTTTGGTTACAGAGGGTTCCAAGGATTGGTGACCTTGTACTTTGAGGGTATGGAGACAAACAGTAAAAGTTATATCTCCGAATAAATTGTGATCTCATATATATAAAGCTATTAATCCCCCATTTTTTTTCCAATGAAGAGCCAAGAAAAGGTTTTTTTCAGCAGACTTCAAACTACTCAGGGACACAGAGGAAGGTCAAGTATCTACTTAAAATATATATCAATTTAGGTATACATACATAGTTTAAAATCACACGTTACATACTTTAATGTTGAGGCAATTCAGGAAACTATTTTATTCAAACTTTTTCAGTGCCTGTCAACACTTAGAGGAACTACCTGCATCATCTTGTTACTTGAGCACATTGCCTTCACTCTTATATCAAATTGGTGAAGATAACTCTTGAGTTTTGAAACTGTGTCTGATGCTATTGCCGGATGCTTTATATGAAGCCACAGTACCATTTGTTGTTTGTCATCACAACCATGTATCCACTTAGAATATTGCATTTTTAGAATGACCTTTAAGTGGCATATAGTCATGCCTAACACTGCCAATAGAGGGTCACACACTAGAATTTGTGATAAACTTCTCAGTGTTTTTAAAATTAGTTGTTAGGTGACCTCCCAAAGCATCCCAAACTGGGTGTTATATGAGACTGTTAAGACTTATGTATAAAAGCATTATCTTTGAGTACATACAATAAAAACATATGCTTCTTAGCCCTTTGCTTCTTTGTTATTAGCACTATAGAAGTAGATTTCACCCAATTGAAGTATTCATTTTATTAGCATGGGGGTTTCATTTCTTATAAAGAACACTGCATTGTAATAATGCTATACTAAAGTTGTGGCTCTAAAACTTGTTTTTCTAGAAAAAGCCCCCTGTAGGTAGCTCCCACATTTTCTGCAGTTCTTTTTGCATGGGTAAATGTGACTGGCAATTCCCTATTCAAACCACGTTGTCTCTTTACTACAGGGGACAACAGTTTGCTCAGCAGATACAGCAACAAAATCCTGAACTTATAGAGCAACTGAGAAATCACATCCGGAGCAGATCATTCAGCAGCAGCACTGAAGAGCATTCCTGATTGACCAGGGGCTGAAGCCCAGGATACAAATAGTTTATGGCTATGAATGAAGTATTTGTTGTAGATACTACCCCCTCCCTCCTTCAAAAAACCAAACACCATATCTGATGTTTGAAAATAATGGAGGAAAACCTCTTGTGTATATTCTTAAAGAATAAATCCATTTAGACAATAGGTTTATCACAAACAGACTCAAAACATAACATGACTCCTTTGGAAATGATCACTGGCCTTGTTAAGTGCCAATACAGCACTGGGATAAGATTCCATTTTCAAACTTCTATCATATTTGTATATTAGATTTAATAGCAAAGTATATTTATTGAACTCTAGTAGGGCTATTTGTTGGTAAGCTCTTTAGCTCCAATTTCCCTTAAGCAAAGTTTTTTGAGAGGGGAAATGACCCAAAGGAAAGGTTTCCTATGCTGGTTGAGAAGGCATGTACTTGCCACCAAGCAGTATGTCAGGAGAGAAGGAATATTATCTAGGTTTAGCTTTGATAAGTACTATCAGCAATGAATAAATAACATGGGAACCAATATCTTTACTGTTGCTTGTTCTGGCAAACAGGGAATCATAAAAGCTGTTAGGAAGTAGCACTTGATGCAAGGGATGTTTTGAAAAGAACAAAATTGGTAATGTGATTGTATAAGAAAGTAAAGGTAGGATGCTCAGGTTTTCTGCATAGTTCTTAACTAATCTTGTCTGCAGTTTGGGATTGGTGACATTAGCATGGCCACACTTTCGCTAAATACACAATAAGATACAGTTAGAAATCCTTAATGCACTGGATAGGTCAGTGATAACACTGACTTAACTATCACAATTTCCCTAGTGGTAACCTTACCTTGGAAACTATCAAATATAACTATGGCAGTGACTTGCTCCTAAGTTAAGGATTTTCTAAGTGGTATTTAATTGTGTGCCCATAAACACTGATTTTTTTTTTTAAAAGAAAACTTAGTAATTATTTGATGGATAACAAAAAACATCATCTATCACTAACACTGCTTGTTCATGTTATCTGTGATAATTTGGCTTGGCATGCCAGTCTTATAATTAACATAGTTTAAATTTGATGCAATTTAAATATAACAAGAGACTTAAAATCTTTATTATAAATTAGATGCCATATTAGTTAGTGGAGAACAAAGGAGCATTAGGCATTAATGGCATGGGTCTAACTACAGTGAGGGTGAGAGTTTAAATTCCAAATGGAATATATTTTTTGTTTATTAATCATGAAATTGGTGCTGACATGTAATGACTTCACAAGTTTTGTGAGGGAAAACTGAAAAAGGAAGTAATATAAATTTTGTGGGGTTTTTTTTGAGATGGAGTTCTACTCTGTTGCCAGACTAGAGTACAGTGTTGTGATCTCAGCTCACTGCAACCTCCACCTCCTGGGTTCAAGCAATTCTCAAGCCTCAACCTCCTGAGTAGCTGGGATTATGGGTGCCTGGTACCACATCCAGCAAATTTTTTTTTTTAATGATGGGGTTTCATCATATTGGCCAGGCTGGTGTTGAACTCCTGACCTCAAATGATCTGCCCACCTTGGCATCTCAAAGTGCTGGGATTACAGGTGTGAGCCACTGTGCCTGGCCATGAAGTAATATAAAACTAAATTAGTAATAATGCAGATGATCAGGACTCATGGAACCATTATCAAAAGACTAATTGGCCTTGCACAATGGTTCATTCCTGTTATCCCAGCACTTTGGGAGGCCGAGGCAGGCAGATCACCTGAGGTCAGGAGTCTTGAGACCAGCCTGGCCAACATGGTAAAACCCTGTCTCTACTGAAAATAACAAAAATTAGCCTGGTGTGGTGGCGGGTGCCTATAATCCCAGCTACTTGGAAGGCTGAGGCATGAGAATCGCTTGGACCTGGGAGGTGGAGGTTGCAGTGAGCCAAGATTGCGCCAACATACTCTAGCCTGTGTGACAGCAAGACTCCATCTCAAAAAAAAAGAAAGAAAAAAGACTATTTTGTATCTTGACGTTTAAAAACCAACTTTTCTCTTTCTCCTTTGTGACATTAGAGCAGTAGTTCTATAACTTCATTGTAAGAATCATCTGGAGAATTCATTAAAGATGCAGATTCAGGGCCACATGTTCAATTCTAATATGGTAGGTCCTGTAATAAGGCCTAGGAATGGCCATTTTAAACAGTACACTAGGTGGTTTTGATATAGATCCAAGGACTCTAATCTAGAGGAACACTAGAGGTTTCTCAATTAGACTTGTAGACACCTAAGCACCTGGGCTAGAGCTACAATGAAGATCTGTAGATATATAGTTCTGTAGAATTTAAAAAGAGCAGAATTTAAGTCTTAGGCCCTCAGAAGTTAAATTCGTATTCCATCTAAGCCAACTTCACTTTTCACTAAGTTAGAATGAATTCCTAGTATTCCAGTATTAATACAGAATGAAGTACTACTACTAATCACATAGAAGTTATTACTGTGATATAAAAAAGAAATAGATCCTTAATTAAAAATTAGTCATTCATATTCGGTGTTGAATAAGAAGTTTCTAGCGTAACTATCTTGAGTGCATTAAAAATGCTTATAGAGCAATAAGATAAGCTACAAATTAACAGTAACAGAAATGAAACGGGATACACTACAGTCACTATAGGTATTAAAAGGCTAACTAGAAAACACCATGACCAACTCAAGGATTGTATATTTAACAACTTAGATGAAACAAATTCTCTATAGGATACAAACTAGAAAGCTCACTGAAGAAATAGATAAACTAAATAGACCCATATTTATTAAGGAAATTGAGTTTGTGTTTAGGTTAAAAACCTTCCTGGAAAGAAAACTACAGGCCCAGATAACATCAATGATGAATTTTACTAAACACTTAAGGGAGAAATAATACCAATTCTAAACAATCTCTTCTAAGAAGTAGAGGAGGAGGAAACACTTCCCAACTCATTTTATTTGGCCAGTATTACCCAGACAAAGATACTATAAGAAAAAAACTGTAAAACAATGTCTTCATGTGCTAACATCTGTAGTTAAGTTAGCCATTCTTTTTATATGAAATAATGGGAATTGGTGTATTTCTTTGATTTCATTTTTCTGTGTTTCTTTGCTAATGTACCACCTGTAACAAATTCAATCTAGATGCTATCTGTCCACTTACATACATTTTCATTCTATTCAAGCCATTTTTGCTCTTCAAGTAACTTCATCGCTTTGGAATCACAGCATTGCAAGCTATTTCAAAATAGTTGTTTTGCGTGGTTGGATTGTGCTAGCTACTTTTAAATTTACAACAAATGCCCCACATATTTTCTTGCTTGTCTGGGAAATATAGTTGCTATCTAACCGATAAATAAGAGGGCATTATTAAAGTAACTCTTTAAGCATTCTATTAAATGTTTGACTTCCATTAATCATATTTCTTGTAGTAGCTGTAGCTATTATACTATGTAAAACAGAACGGGTTCTCTATATGCAAATGTTTTCATTTAATGTACCAAATTGTGTATCTAACTTTTATAATATAGGTTAAACAGACCCTTTCTAAGACGGCATTATCTAATCTTTAAAGTATGAATATGTGTCCAAGTTATTGTTTATAAACAGAAGAGACTATAATTAAAATATAGAGCAGATTCCAAGTGACCATCATGTCACTTTTAAAATTTGAAACAGAATGAAACAGAAGATTCAGTCATAAGAAGATGCTTGAAAAACAATCCAAGTATCCAGTGCAGTGGCTATAAAATGTTATTTCATCATTTAATCAATCTTAATCATTTTGAGACAGAGACTTCAATTTTACACTGCTTGCACTTTATTTTATACAGACATTTCATTAATTATTATGAGTGCAAACCTTCTGAATATAGCTTTCATTCAAACAATTTGTCATGGCAATAAATAATTATGCATTGAAAAACCAATTTTTGTATTTGATTTAATGCACTCTTACATTTAAGAAATTATACATACATTCTTGAATTTCAGCTCACCAAAATAGGATAGCTTTTATTTAACAGCCTAAGCTTTTGTTTTCCTGACAAAATACTGAAACTTCTTGTTACATTCATGCTGCAAAATTGTTTACAACCTCAACTTTCTCACTACTTTGCTGATAACTAAGTGTGATTACATGGAGAAAGTTTTATAACAGTAATACATAATTTAGTTTGAAATCACATCAGAAGATAGAAATTATTTAAATATACCTTATAAAAATAAGTGGCTTATAGGATGAGAAAAAAAAAGAACCAGGAGTTTTTGGCTTATAATTAGAGAGTAATTAGTTTAGAGTTAATGAAAAAAACCAATAACCCAAAATGTAAAACCAACTCTGATCTGTTTAGTAACTGAAAGACATGTATGTTTGTAGGTATAATATACAAACACAGACACAAACCATTATAGTAATTTTGAAAACAACTAGAAAGCTTATACTGTTTTAGCAAATATCAGGTTATAGGATGACTACCACCATTGTTTTAAGTAAACTTTTTCTGTTGGCTGAATAGCTAGGAAAAAAACTGGACTAAACTGAAATATTTCTTAAAAAAATATTGAAAAGTTCTGAGAAACAACTATGTCTCCTAGATTGAGGTCAGCAGACTACATCCTGCAGGCCAAATCTGTCCAGCTGCCTTTTGTGTTTTTTTGTTTTTTGTTTTGTTTTGTTTTTGAGAGAGATTCTTGCTCTGTTGCTCAGGCTAGAGTGCAGTGGCATGATCTTGGATTACTGCAATTTTCAAGTGATTCTCTTGCCTCAGACTCCTGAGTCCAGCTGGCTCTTTTTGTGTACACCACTGTACTTTTTTTGCCTTCTGTCTGCTCTTGCAGTACAATGGCAGAGTTCAGTATCTGTGACAAAAACCATATGGCCTGCAAAGTCTAAAATATTTAGTATCTTCTTGTACCTGACTTAAACAGTTTGCTGACTCCTGTTCTAGATACTTGCTAGGGACAAATGGCTTCAAATACACAGCTTTTGGAGAACAAAGTCCAATGGTCACCTAAAATGAAATTATAGGTGTAGAAAACATACACATGTTCATTTCAAACATAATTTACAAGATAAAATGAGATCTCTTCAAAACAAATACTTAATATTTTAACCATTTTACAGGAAAGAATTAACATATTTGTTGTTGACATCATCATTTATAAAGGTGACAAAAAGAGCAGTTCTGTGAAACTAAATGAAAGGAATAACATTGGAAATTTCCTTCAGCTTTCCACTTTAATGGCCGAAGATACCACACAGACTTGTGCAATGTCATCATATTCATATGTTCTCTTTAAGAATGTGTCTGTTAGTCTTAAGCCGGAGATGCTCTATTGAGAGAGAAAAAGAGATGAGTCTTAAGTTTTCATTCATTTAGAGAAAATATGGCTATCACAAATGACTTGTAAGTTAACGGCCCCCAAATCTTGGAATTTCTGAAAAGACAGCATACTTGCAGACCCTGCACTGAAGAAAGCAGAGTAAGGGCAAGACAGAGCGAAGAACTTGGATGCAGCTTTCCCAGCTGTCTTCCTGAAATTCCACACCAGTGGATGGAATTGGTATTGCACATTTCCAAAACCAGATCCATAGTCCTTTCACTGCTGGAGGAATCAGAGTAATAGGAATAAATCTTGTTCATTTCACAAAGAAGTTCTGCGATATTTCTACTAGTGACAGTAAACTTGTTTTCTCAGTATCCAGGAGAATAAAAACCAGGAACAGAAAAGCTATTATAACATTTTAATTTCTCTTAAAATAGAATCAGGACTATGAAAGGAAGTCACACCTTCTAGCACTTAAAATGGCCTCAGAGTAATCTGCCTGTCTGGATGTTGCCCTCCTAGTTCTATCATTCAACACTGGCCTCCTGGTGCTGATCTGCTGTTAACAGTTTTGCCATTTTTCTGGGAGACTTCCAGACATTTGTGTCTAATCTTATTGCCATATATTCTCACTGTTTCTGTTAGGTACTCTACAGGAAAAGAAGAAAACAGCTGATTCTGGTCTAGTCCTTTTGATATTTTATGTTACTTTACCATAACTTGGAAAACAACTGGCAAGATGTGTAAGATGTAAATACTATTCAGGTTTGCTAACTGAATTATTTACAAGAAAAGACTCCTTCTGCTTATAACAGATATCACCAGTTAAGCTTAAATATGTTAAGTTAAAAAAACTTAATGAAAGTTTGCACATTGTTCTTTTTTAAATAACCGAAAGGCTCATAATGAAAAATAGTCTCCTACCACCATTCATGGCTACTTATGGCTCCTTTAGCTGTTTATTCTTATATTTGGCTCCATATTTTAAACTGCTTAAATTATTTTTGTAGACATATTGACCTTATAGTATTAACTTGTATATGTCTGTATCTCCCTAACAAATATTTGAGATGCCTACTATGTCCCAGCCACCAGGGTAGATGCACTACATGACTATTACTAATTTCATAAAAATCCACTAAGATTTATATATGTTGTGTGCATGTGTCTGTGCATGTCTCTGGTGTGTAGGGGCAGAGAATAACATTATATAGAAAGGAAAATAAAGATACTAATAATACAAATAATAATACAAACCAAGTGGTAAGGCAAGTAGGAGCAGAGGTGACAGGATTGGGACTTAATTCTATTTTTTTCTACTTTCAAAGCCCTGTGCTCTTTGCTTTCTGAATAGTTCAGATTATGCTGTCTCTCTACTGTCAAAACCCTGTTTTTGAATCAATGATATCCCCTTACATTAAATCCATAAACAGTTTGGTTTCTTAATATTCAAGATACAGCTCAAGTACAAGTATGCCTCAAAAAAATCTTACTACTTTAACTCATAATGTATTAATACATAAGAACCTATTAGAATTCATGTTTTGGTGAAGGAAGTATAAAAATGAAAAGAGAAACTCTGAAGTCAAATATATGTGGTTTAAAATTCTGGCCCCATCTTTTCTAGCCCTCTGAGATTGACTAAGTCACTTAGCCTCTCTGAGTTGGCTTTCTCTTGCATAGAATGTGAATAATGAATATCCACCTCATAGGCTATGACACGTGAATGAAATAAAATACAGAAGATGCATAATACAATAGGCTTTTACAAATATGTAACTATACTGCTACCAGATGAAAAATTTTCAGTACTCAGTCAACATCAGAGAAGGCTATATGTCAAGAGGAAACTCTAAAGGGGATAGTAATAAAAAGATTTAAAAATTCTCTTCTAGGTAGGTGAGGTAGAAAGGACATCCATCCTCAAATGGTGGCATTACCTGCAGTTTGTTATTTTACAGGTAATATGAAAAGGTTCTTCGAGGTTTACGGTATCTGGTATTGCCTCCAAAGACAACCTAACATCTCCATAACCTGGAGCCTAAGAAAACAAGCAACACAGTTAATATATATCTACCATAAAACCTTTCCATTTTAATGAAGGCACCGCAGCAGCACATTCACTCAACAGTTGTTGGGTTTCTAAGCTGATGTCCTAAGAAAATACTTCTAATTCCCTTTACTCTTACCTCATTATACATTCTTTTGCAGCTACTACCTATGGAATAGCCTGGCAGACCTGGATTGTATTTGTTATGTAAATAGTTACTCCATGTTCAGTAGAGGTAAAATGAATCTCACAGGTAAGCAGTCAGTCAAGAAATTTCAGGGAGTTGAAGGGACACTTTCCAGATACTGTAGCCTGTATATCTATACCCTAAATAGGTATAAGGTTATTTTCTAAAGAAAGAGGAGGATGATGTTAAAAGGAGCCAGGAAGAAAATCATTACTTTTCACAAGACACACAGATTAGGATGGACTAGAACAACACCGAGGCTTGGAACAGGCCATGGCAGAAAAATAACTAATGGCTATATTTAAGTGGTCCTAGGGATCATCACTGTCATGATCTTTTTTTTTTTTAATTACTGCCTCAAACAGTGAAAGAAAAGTACAAGTTAGAATATGTCAAAACAGGTAATATTCAGCATAAAGGGAGAAGGATCCTGTCATATATTCTTATAAGCATAAGAAAAAGCCTGACAGCTATCCCTATTCTCAGAGCAGAAATTAGGTAAAATATGCAACCAATGCATGTAAGATAACTTTAGTAGAACTCACCTTCTGAGGAGATGCCTCAGGATTTTTTTTTGAGACAGAGTTTTGCTCTTGTTGTCCAGACTGGAGTGCAATGGCACGATCTCAGCTCACTGCAACCTCTGCCTTCTGGGTTCAAGCAATTCTCCTGCCTCAGCCCCCTGAGTAGCTGGGATTACAGGCATGAGCCACCATGCCCAGCTAATTTTTGTATTTTTAGTAGAGACAGTGTATCACTGTATCGGCCAGGCTGGACTCAAACTCCTGACCTTGTGATCTGCCTGCTTCATCCTCCCAGAGTGCTGGGATTACAGGTGTGAGTCACCGTTCCCGGCCGCCTCAGGATTTTTAATATCTTAAAAATGGTATAAACTGAGTAGGTGAATGTAGTTAAGTCCAAGAGTTTCAGGAAATCGCAAAACAGAAACCCTTAATGTATTTGGACGTAGAAGAAGAGTGAGCATGTGTTACCAAAGGAGGGACACTTGATAAGCAGTTATTTCAATTTGTTTGATAAAGAACACATATATTAAGGATAAATTAACACTGACCATTTTTCATTCATGGCAACACCAGTTTTCTACCTACATATCAGTGAAACTATTAATCTTTTCTTCTCTAGTAATATTAATGCCTTTTATAGTGCTCCAGTTTTTTGCTGATAGATGTAAAAATATTTAAGTTGTTCTAACTGCCTGTCTCCCGCACACCCCAGTGAAGTTTTTTCCAAACTCACCATTCTTTGAAGTTGGCTGGTCTGTAACCTTCCCCTTTCACCTAGATTTGTTTTCCATACTATATCCAGTTTTCCAATTACTGTTACTCCCTTAATGATGCCTGCTTTTTCTGCAAATTCCTTCTTGGGCTTTAGGCAGTATAAGTACTGGCGTGTGTCCATTGGCTGCAAATATGCTCTTGACCTAAATGTAGATACACTGAGAGGGGCAAAGACAGAGATAAAGAAAATTCTCTAGCATCTTTTAAAAGAGAAACCATGGCTGTGATTGTTCCTTTGGATAGGAACTAGATGATGCACCTCCAAAGATCAACAGTAGAACATGTTAGTGATTTCAAAACAAATAAAAAGAATCACTGCGATGAGTTATTTTTCTTTAATTTTTTCAGTTGACATAGAAAATACTGAGGTTCTGTACAGTAATTGGTATTCCAAAATGGGGTCCTTTTTTAAAAAAAAATAGTTTTAAGAGACCAGGTCTTTCTCTATCACCCAGGCTAAAGTTCAATGGTATGATCATAGCTTACCATAACTTATAATTTCTTGGCTCAAGGAGGTTCTTTATAATAGAATATAACATATTACTTATAAAATTGGATGTGTATCAACTAACGGAAAAATGCAATAGAAACCAGAACCTGAAGTATCCTGTCACTTTTCTCTAAAATTACCAACAGACTAATAAGAGACATACCATTCTAAATGAATTTCAAAATGAACTAAAATATCTAGAAAAGAATGGAAAATTGTTTTCGTCAATTGTAACCAACCTAATAATATAAAAGAAAACTTTTCATTCCTAATTTAAAAATTCAGGTACTTTCCCAAGGTATTACCTTTTTCTTCTTCTTTTTCTTTTTTTTTTTTTAATACAGGGTTTCTCTGTCACCAGACTGGAATGCAGTGGTACAATCATGGCTCAATGCAGTCTTGAACTTGTGGGCTCAAGTGATTTTCCTCCCTCACCCTCCCAAGGAACTAGGACTGCTGGAGTGCACACCATGCCCAGTTAATTAAAAACATATTTCGGTAGTAATGCAGTGTCTCTAAGTTGCCTCGGGTGGTCTAGAACTCATGGTCTCAAACGATCCTCTGGCCTCAGCCTCCCAAAGGGTTAAGATTACAGGCATGAGCCACCACACCCAGTCCATTACCTTCTTATTGGTATTACTTTCAACGCTACATTTATTCTTCCTCTTTTAAATTAGCTATGGAAAGGCTATGTATTTTCATTTCACAAAATACTAATAATTTATTCCTATATCCTTTTATTTTGATGTTGAGAGAGTATTTCTTTTTTAAACTCACATTCACCCTTACTCTTTTTAACTTCTCCACCATTCCTTCTCATTCCTCCATTTTATCATTTGCAGGATAGCAATGATAGGTTTCATATTTATCCCACTGGATTTTTATGACACTTAGAAGACAAAGTGCTTTGTATAATAAACATACAATGAATGCAAAGGGCTAGGATCTTAATTTTTATGTAATGGAGGGATGAATAGATGGAGCATAGAGATTTTTGGTAAAGTGAAACTATTTTGCATAATATAGTAATGGTGGATACACGTTATACATTTGTCAAAACCTACAATACTTGCCTATAGTTCCAGCTACTTGGGAGGATCACTTGAGCCCAGAAATCTGACTTCAGCCTGGGCAATATTAGTGAGACCTGTCTCTTAAAACAAAACAAAACAAAAACCAAAAACAATAAAATACCCAATAAAAAGTGTGAACTCTAATGTAAATTATAGACATTAGTTAACAGTAAGTGTCAATATTGGCTCGTCAATTGTAGTAAATGTACCACATTAAAACAAGATGTAGACCAGCCACAGTGGTTCATGCCTATAATCTCAGCACTTTGGGAGGTCGAGGTGGGCAGATCACTTAAGGCTGATGCACCAGAATTGTGTGAACCCAGAAGGTGGAGGTTGCAGTGAGCCTAAATCAAGATAGTGCTACTCGGTAACTATCCAAGATGGCCGATCGCTAACATCTCGGGATTGCAGCTCTCAGTGAAAACGGCAGAGAACTAGAGGACGCCACACTTTGAGACAAATTTTGGTCACTCACGGAGCAGAAGATCCCCAGTGGAGGAGTCACACGGGTCGCCAGCGCGACTCTTGTGGCCGGCGCAGCAGTTTCGCCAGCACTTTGGCGCAGCAGCTCTCAGAGCAGAGTAAACAGGGCTGGCTCCCCTTCTGACTGAGGTTTGGAGAACCCACACGGGTCCCCAACATGACTCCTGAGGCCGGCAGAGCGGCTGTGATGGCACCTTGGCGCGGCAGCTCTCGGCGCAGAGTAAACGAGACTGGTTCCCCTTCTGACCGAGGTTTGGAGCCCCAGGAAGGCAGAATTGCCTATTACGGACACAAGAAGGAAGCCAGACAGGGGAATCCTGGGCAGAAAAGCACCACCAGTCTTAACGCCGTTGTTCTGGCCCTGGAAACTAACAACTTGGACGTCCACTCAAGAGACCTAATCTGAAAGTTGGTAATTTCAAAGACGACAGGAGGATAAATTTAAAATGATGGGAAGAAACCAGCGTAAAAAGGCTGAGAATACTCAAAATCAGAACGCCTCTCCCTCTAAAGATGATCACAGTTCCACATCAACAATGGAACAAGGCTTGATGGAGAAAGAGCGCATCCCAATAACAGAATCACGCTTCAGGGAATGGATAATAAGAAACTTCTGTGAGTTAAAAGAACATGTTGTAGTCCAACGTAAAGAAACTAAGAACTTTGAAAAAAGGTTTGATGAAATCCTATTGAGAATAGACAACTTAGAGAGGAATATAAGTGAATTAATGGAACTGAAGAATACAATACAGGAACTCCGAGAAGTATGCACAGGTTTAAACACTCGAATTGTTCAAGCAGAGGAAAGGATATCAGAGGTCAAAGTCCAACTTAATGAAATACAACAAGAAGACAAGATTAGAGAAAAAAGGATAAAAAGGAATGAGCAAAGTCTCCAAGAAATGTGGGACTATGTGAAAAGACCAAATTTACGTTTGATAGGTGTACCTGAATACGACGGAGAGAATGAATCCAAGCTGGAAAATACCCTTCAGGATATTATTCAGGAAAATTTTCCTGAACTAGCAAAGCAGGTCAGTATTCAACCCCAGGTAATACAGAGAACACCACAAAGATATTCCTCAAGAAGAGCAACCCCAAGGCACATAATCGTTAGATTCACCAGGGTTGAAACAAAGGAGAAAATACTAAGGGCAGCCAGAGAGAAAGGTCAGGTTACCCACAAAGGCAAGCCTATCAGACTTACAGCAGATCTCTCAGCAGAAACTCTACAGGCCAGAAGAGAGTGGGGGCCAATATTCAACATTCTCAAAGAACAGAATCTTCAGCCCAGAATTTCATATCCAGCCAAACTAAGCTTCACAACTGAAGGAAAAATAAAATCTTTTATGAACAAGCAAGTACTCAGAGATTTTATTACCACCAGGCCTGCTTTACAAGAGCTTCTGAAAGAAGCATTATACATAGAAAGAAACAACCAGTATTAGCCTTTCTAAAAATATACCAAAAAGTAAAGAGCACCAACATAAAGAAGAATTTACATCAACAAATGGATCAAACAGCCAGTTAACATCAAATGGCAGTAACCCTAAATTTAACTCAACTAAATCTCCCAATCAAAAGACACAGCCAAAACCCAACGGCATGTTACATCCAGACCTGTTTCACATGCCAGGATACACAAAGACTCAAAACAAAGGGATGGAGAAAGATTTACCAACCAAATGGAGAGCATAAATAAATAAATAAATAAATAAAGAGCAGGAGTTGCAATTCTCGTATCGGATAAAATAGATTTTAAAGCAACAAAGATATAGTGGTAAAAGGATCAATGCAACAATAAGAGCTAATGATGCTAACACCCAGATACATAGAGACTTAGATTCAATGAGACAGAAAATTAATAAGAATATCAAGGACTCGAACTCAGATCCGGAACAAGTAAACTTAATAAATATTTATAGAGCTCTCCACTTCAAATACACAAAATATACATTCTTGTCAATACCACATCACACCTACTCATAGTTTAAATGAAACACTGATTGGCCATTATTAATACCCATTTTTTTCAGAATAAAGCAGTATTTCTGTTCACCCTCCCTCTTTCTCTTCCTCTTTCTTCTTCCTCTCCTTTATTCCTTTTTTTTTCTTTCCTTCTCTCAAAAAAAAAAAAGAAATCAACTTGTAAACCCCTAGATCCAGGTTGGCAATGTCTCACTCATTGCTTGATTTCCTTCCTTCCTTCCCTTCCCTTCCCTCCCTCCCTCCCCACTTTCTCCCTTCCTTCCTTCCTTCCTCCCTTCCTTCTTCCCTCCCTTCCTGCCTTCCTCCCTTCCAAAAAAAAAAATAAATAAAGATAGTGCTACTGCATGCCAACCTGGGTCACGGAGCTGACTCTGTCTCTAAATGAATAAATAATGGAGGGAGGATCCAAGATGGCCGAATAGAAACAGCTCTGGATTGCAGTTCCCAGTGAAAATACAGAGGGTGAGTGATCACTGCATTTTCAAATGAAAAAGGTGGTTATGCAGTCTGCTGTAGCAGACTTAATCATATCTGCCCTGCAGCTCTGAACAGAACAGAGCTCACAGCTTAGCACTTGAGCTCCTATAAGGCACACATTGTCTCCTCAAGCAGCTCCCTGACCCCCGTACATCCAAAGAGACAGACACCACATAAAGGAGAGCTCAGGCTGACATCTGGCGGGTATCCTTCTGGGACAAAGATAACAGAAGAAGAAACTGGCAGTAACCCTTACTGTTCTGCAGCTGCTGCAGGTGATCCCCAGGCAAGCAGGGTCTGGAGTGGACCTCCAGCAGTCCTTCAGCAGGGGGGCTTGACTGTTAGAAGGAAAACTAAGAAACAAAAAGAAATAACTTCATCAGCAACAAAAAGGATGTCCACTCAGAGACCCCATCTGAAAGTCACCAACCACAAAGACCACAGGTAGATAAATCCACAAAGATAGGATGAAACCATCACAAAAAGGATGAAAATACTCAAAACCAGAATCCCTCTCCTCCGAGGGATCACAACTCATCACCAGCAAGGGAACAAGGTTGGATGGAGAATGAGTCTGATGAATTGACAGAAACAGGCTTCAGAAGGTGGGTAATAAACTTCTCTGAGCTAAGATCATGTTCTA